AGACCAGGCTGGCCTTGAACTCAGAAATCCACCTGCCTCTGCCTCCCAAGGGCCACCAGGCCCAGCATAAACCAGCACTTCTATCTTATTAGTATGTATATTGTTCTCATTTTTAATAGGTGGTAAAATTATATATGTGACAGACTTTTCAAAAATAAAATCCTCTCACTTAATGTTTCATTTGTATACCTAGTTTTTATGCCTACATACTTGGGGTCCTATAAAATTTCTCAGGTAAAGGATTGTGAATAGAAAATTTTTAAAAAAATCCCTGGTCTGTTCAAGTCCTCCACTCTAAATATCTACTTTCAAAATATGTACAAAAATCCTATTTTCACCTAGGAGTTTAGTTGGTAAAAACAAGTATTGATTTTTAAAGTACTTAAAGAGTTATGGAAAACCAGTATTTGACTCTTTTGAAAGCCCAAAAGATGCAGTAAATATCCAAAGCAGTTTTAGTTGAGAGTTGCTCTCGAAGCTATGCTTTCTTCTTGGTGGTAAGTTTTTCTGAGGTGCTGGGGACTGAAAGCAGGGTCCTGGACATGCCAGGCAAGCACTCTATCACTAAGTAACCATCCTTGGGCCCTCCTCTGCCCCTTTATTTTGAGACAGGGTCTTTCTATGAGACCAGACTGACCTGGAACTTACAATTATGGCTCAGTCTCTCAAGTTCTGGAATCACAGGCATCACTACCATACCTGACCAAGGAATACCTTTTTTTTGGGGGGGGGGCAGGGTCTCACCATGTATTTCTGGCTGGCCTAGAACTCACTATGTAGACCAGGCTGACCTTGAACTCACCGAGATCTGCCTGCCTCTGCTTCCTGAGTTCAAGGATTAAAGGTGAGTGCCACCACCCCGGCTGTGGATAAATTTTAAATCTTTATATAACCTAGTTTCTGACAACAGTTTAGATTTAGCTATTTTAAAAAGAACGACATGAATATAAAAGACATGAAGACACAGGAAACACCACTGAGTTTTGAAATGAGAATGTCCAACAGCAACTCTCTCCATGAAATGAACACAGTAGCCATTCTGGATGGGGACAGTGTCATATTCCAGACCACGCCATAGTGAAAAAAACCTTCCCCCTTTTTATAACTGTCTGGTGGAGAGCCCTAACTCATCAGTAGGAAAGGTACTTACTTCCACAGTACCTTCAGTAATTCTAGCCACTGCCAACCATAAATCCAGTCATTTTATATGCCATCAGAAAGGATGCTAGGGCCGGGGAAATAAATGGCTTGGCAGGAAAAGGTTCTTGCCACACAAACCTCAGGGCCAGAGTTCCAGCTTTTGAACACACATAAAAGTGGGAGGAGAGAACTGGCCCTATAAAGTTGTTTTCTTTTTGTACACATTTCTCTCCCTTATGTGCGAGAGCACACTTACCACACACACACCCCTAAGACTAATACAAAGAGGAAGCAAAGGCACAAACGAAACTCCCACAGGGTTGATTTTGAGACGCACCATGACTTTAGTAAATGTTAAATGTTTAAGGCTGAGAACTGCTAAGACAGGAGGGGACTGCCTGCTTGGTCCCCTGCTCTATTCCCTGCGCCAAGAGCAGTGTACACAATGACACGTGGTGCTTCACAAATGTTTGCTGCATTTATGAAGGAATACTCCAAGACTCATGAAACACACAGTGACCCTCTCACAAGAGTAGAGACCACAGAGCTATCTTTATGCTGCTGACAGACAGCTTTCTGTTTCAGTAAGACTAACATCAGATTTCTCAACAAGATGCAAGGCTGCAAAACAAACTGAGTTTGTCAACGAGACTCAAGTGTGAGGCAACTCGTGCTTCTATTATGATGGGGCAGAGCAGTGCCAGATACTTAGGTTTCCTTGTCCCATGATCATTAAGACAGTCATTCTGCAATTTTTACTGATTTGCATGCACATATGCATAGGTCAGAAGTCAATGCTGGGTATTTTCTTCAATAGCTCTCCAACTAATTTTCTGAGACAGGTTATTTCAATGAACCCTGAACTCACCAATCTGGCTAGACTGTCTAGCCATCAAGGCTCCACCACGGTTTCACTTGGCCTTTAAATGGATGCTGAACACCTGAACTCAGGTGCCCCTGGGCATGTGGCAAGCACATTGCTGATAGAGCCATGTTCCTGGCCCCTGTAGTTAGTACTTTACACATAGGTATATTTTACTTGCATCTATGTGTACTATGTGCATCTGCAGTGACTGCGGAGGTCAGAAGAGAGTGTCGGATGCCCTGGAACTGGAGTTATGGATGGTTATGAGCCACTACGTGGGTACAGGGAATAGAACCTGGGTTCTCTGTGCACACACACACACACACACACAGTGCTCTAATCCACTAAGCCATCTTCCCAGCCCCTCTACAATTTTTTTTTTCTTGAAGGCCTTCTATATTCCACAAACTGGCCATGATGATGAACAGGGGAACAAGATAAGCGAATCTGGTGGGATGGTGATAACCAGGAAAGATCCTGGGGTACTGGTGTGAGGTCCTTGAGACATCTTAGTATTCCAAGTCCTGGACCTGTCTCCAAAGGGGTCTGAGAAGCACGCTCTCTGGATGTTTGAGGTCCAGATGTAGTGTACTTGTTTGCTTTTGTCTCCTGAGGGCCCTCCTAAGGCTCCATGTGCTTTTACCTATGGCTAAGAGAACGGAAGCTTACAGTGCTGGTGTGTGTGTGTGTGTGTGTGTGTGTGTGTGTGTGTGTGTGTGTGTGTGTGATATACACCACAGAATTCAGAAACAAAGTTATCTGTGCAGAGCTGAGGCAGGACCATGAGGAGTTCAAGGTCATTCTCAGTTACATAGCTAACAGAGACCAATCCTGACTACAGGAAACCCTGTATCAAACAAACAGCACCCCCACCCCCTGTATCTAAGTATCACAAAAGGGACACATATTTTGCAACTTTAGAGGTAACCGGGAGGTGGGGGAGATACTGAAGCGGGATTTCCCAGAAGTGATACTGCTAAGGGAGAAGGGGTAGAATTCTTTGCAGAACAAGCAGGAAATGAAAAGGCATGGAGGTGAGAAAGTGGACTTGGTGTCCTCAGCCTTCAAGGAAGGGTTTTATTGGCTACTAAAGACTTAGAAAAGCAGGTGAGGACACCATAACTGACAGACTGTGACCTTCAAGGAAAGCAGTGGTCCCACGAGATTTGTTTTAGGAGAATGACCTGGGCTGATTTGTGGAGGGCAGACTAAAGAAACACAATGGAAGCCCAGCTTGGTGGTGCATGTCTTTAATTCTAGCACTCAAGAGGTAGAGGCAGGTGGATCTCTGGGAGTTTGAAGCCAGCCTGGTTTCCAGGACAGCCAGGGCTGATACACAGAGAAACTCTGTCTTGGAACACAAAAACAAAAGGCACAATGGAGCGAAGGAGACCAGTTAGGGAACAGACAGGGCAGAAATCTAGGTGAGATAAAGGAATATCTGGTTAAGGCAGAGTTATTGAGAAGGCAGGACAAAGGGGCAATGTGTGGGGGTGAGAGTGGAGGATGAAGAGGAGAGTCCATGGTAATGCGGTGGGTCTGTGTGGTAGAAAAAATAAGGAAGTATGCGCCGTAGGGGAGGAGCAGCAGGAAAGAATAGCTGTTTCGGGGGAGTGGACCCCATTTTTGAAACCAAGGCACCAATGGGACAGCCAGGTGGAGTACCAGGCTAGCAGCACTAATCTGAGGGGAAGGTAGCAAAAGCCCACCCGGGCTACCCAGTTAGGGTTAGGAACCACCAGCACATGTCTACAGGAACCTTGTAAACATGAGAGTAAACTGAACTTCTAGGGGCAACCCTTAACAGAAACGTTATGAGGGTGGGAGGGATTGCAGCTGCCAAAATGGCTCAGTGAGTAATTAGCATCTGGTGCATAAGCCGCCTGGCCACCTGAGTCTGACCTCTGGATTCCAGGGTGGAAGACAGACAACTTTCAAAACCTAACTTCCACATGAGTGCCAGAACGTGCACAACGTAATAATTAAAAAAAAAAATTAGTTTTTATTCCTCTGTCAGACTTCTCATAAAAGTTTCTCTCTTTTTTGGAGACAAAATCTTACTTGTCCTGTGGCCCTGGCTGCCTTCAGCCTCCCAAGTGCTTGGATTAATGGGGAGAGCTATCACATGAGGCAGATTTCAATTAAAAAAAAAAACTTTTAAAAGATTTATTTTAGGTGTATGTTTTGCCTGCCTCTATGTATGTGCACCACCTCTGCATGCCTGGTGTCAGCAGAGGTCAGAGGGGGCGACTCTTCTCCACGAACTGGTTGTGAGCTGCTATGTGGGTACTGGGACTTAAACCGCTGAGCTATTTCTCCAGCCCCCCCCCCTTCGGCCCCCGCCCCCCGCGCCCGCACTTCAATTTTATGCGGATTTAGCAAAATGTAACTTAAACTTTAGCCAACTGGCTGCAACCTAAAACCTTCACAGCATGTTGCAGTCCAGACCTATGTGTTCACTCAAGGGTTACAGAAGCTATTCTGGATCACTTAAGTAAAACCCTGCAATGCACTCCACGGCAGTTGAAATCCAAATGAGAAAGCCAGTGATCTGGCCACATTGCCTCCAGGCTCAACTTTCTGCGCGCCAACTTTCTGATTTTACTGGCCCAGGGCACCCTTAGCTCTTTCCTGCGTCTGCCTAGCTGGCTTCCTCCTGTCAAACCTCACAGAACACAGGAGGCTTCCTTTGGAGAGACTTTCTCCTGCACTTTTCCACACTACTGGTGTCCATTCCCGCATTCACACACGCTCCACTGCCACAGGTCCTGACACTACACTGCCAGAGTTCCTCCGGGGCTGGAATGCAGCCTCTACTCTCTCCCGCACACCAGCGCCTGCAGGCACTGTCCAAGGAATGAAACCAGAAACAAAAATGAGCCTCGGCGAGCTGAGCTTGAACCTGGAGCTCTGCCGCACAGCCCGCAGCAGCCGCACCCGCACCCACAGGCGCGACCCTCGCAGAGAGCCCAGCGACGCGGACCCCGGCCAGCACCTGTGTCGCTCTGCGTCCTTGCGCTGAGATACTGCCGCAGCTTCCTCACTGCGCGGTCGCGGACACCCTTCTCGCTGGAGGCCAGCCGCTGGGCGAACTGGAGCTCGGCCGACTGCATGGCGGGAGCCATCGCGCCCGCTCCAGCATCCCCGGGCGGCGCGCGTGCGGCTCGCGGCCGAGCAGTCCGGACTGCGCCTGCGCACGGGCAGCGGCGCGCGGGTGATGGCGTCACAGACGCGCCTCTGGTAGCGCGCCCAGGGAGCCCGCGTGGCTGTGGCGCGGGGAGGCGCCGCAGCCGGGCTGCCGGGGTACGTCCTGTGGGTGGTCCGAGTTCTGGGCCGTTGGCGTCGAGGTTAGTTGGGGTTAGGTTTCCGCTAGGAAGCCGCCTGCGGCTGGTTTGACGCAGTCTAGAGTCTAAGCACTGCTCGCAAAGGTCGGGGGAGCGGCGCCCCTGCGACCTCCACTCACTCAGGGTCCTGCAGAACTCCGCGAGCTCTCCTGCGCAGAATTGAGGCCGTCATTCAGGAAGCCCAGGCCTGAGGACTACACAGGGGCAGTGCTCCTCCGTCTCCACACCCCCCAGCGTAGTGCCTAGAGTCCCGATGCAGGCTCAGCATTATAGAGTGAATGTCCTCCCCCCCCCCCCCACACACCCCAGTGTCCTGCGACAGGTGCAGAGGTGACGAGGAGACCTTTGCAGCGTTCTAGGACAGGGGCGGGCTTTGGCGAGGAGGGAGAGTCACCCATCCTTGTAGCATCAAAGGCACGTAAGGGGTGTCGCGTGGAGAGAGCAATCCATTCCTGGGACAGATTCAGGGGTGTGTAGTGGCAAGAGAGCAAGCCTTCCTGAAGCGTCTCGGGACAGGTGCAGGCGTGTTGAATGGGGAGTTAGCAAACCCATACCCACAGCGTCTGGGTCAGGTGCGCGGATGTCCCCCGACAATAGAGATTGGAAATGACCTGCCCTGGCAGCAAGCAGGGGGAGATTTGGGAATCTAACGGGGAGGGAACTTGGTCCTGTTCTTAAGTCCTCCTGCGTGCAAAACACAAAGTTCTGAGCTGTGGTGTCCTAGGGTTTCTATTGCTACAGTGAAACACCGTGACCAAAAAGTAACTTGGGGAGGAAAGGGTTAATTTGGCTTACACTTCCATATTACTGTTCATCATCGAAGTCAGGACAAGAACTCAAGCAGGGCAGGAACCTGGAGGCAGGAGCTGATGCAGAGGCCATGGAGGGTGCTGCTTACTGGTTTGTTCCTCACGGTTTGCTCAGCCTGCTTTCTTATAGAACAGTGGACCACCAGCCCAGGGATGGCATCACCCACAATACGCTAGGGTCCTCCACCCCATCAATCACTAATTAAGAAAATGCTTTTATAGCCGGGTGGTGGTGGCAGAGGCAGGCAGATCTCTGTGAGTTCAGGCCAGTCTGGTCTACAGACTGAGTTCCAGGATTAATAGCCAGGGCTACACAGAGAAACCCTGTTTTGAACACCCCCACTCCCCCCCCCAAAAAAATCCTTACATGCCCGCCTACAACCTGATCTTATGGAGACATTTTCTTAATTTTTTTATTTTTTAAATATTTATTTGGATTTTTGAGACAGGGTTTCTCTGTGTAGCCCTAACTGTCCTAGAACTTGCTCTGTAGACCAGGCTGGCCTCGAACCTGGAGATCCATCTGCCTCTGCCTCCCAAGTGCTAGAATTAAGGCACGAGCCACCACAGCCCCACAGAGACATTTTTTGAATTGAGGTTTCCTTTTCTCAGATGACTTTAACTTGTGTCAAGTTGACATAAAACTACCCAGCACAAGTGGGAACATACTAATCCCACAAGAAAGAAATCTTTTGTTTTTTATAATTATTATTTTTTCATTTATTTTACATACCCATACCTACCACGGTTTCCCCTCCCTCCTCTCCTCTGGTCCCCCCCACACACCGCCTCTCTTTTACTCCACCCCCCAGCCCCCATCTTCTTCTCCTCCATCTCCATTCAAGAAAGAAGTCTTAACAATTAGGCTAACTTTAGGGACATCCAAAACCCTAGGTCATCAAACATACATTCTGTAGATTCAGTAGCACGTTGGGGGGGGGGGGGAATATTAGATTAGGATATTCTTCCAAACTTTGGTTATTTAATTTTTTTCCCTCCATGTATCCCAGGTTAGACTCCCTCGTTATGTAGCAAGGCTGGTTTTGAGCTCCTTCCACCACCCAAGTGGAATTATAGGCGTGTACCACTGCATCCAGCTTCAAACTTCAGTTATTTCAGACCCCAGTTACCTGGTCAAAATAACTTTCCTGTGGGCCGAGCGACTGTGTTCTGCAGGCAGCTGCGCGGTTTCTCACAAAGAGGGCGCGGGTTTAGCTGTAGCACCCTCTCTCTAAACAAGAAAGAACGGACTCGGCTTATTTTGACGCCTCATTTTGCAGGTGACAAATTTGAAACACGCCTGAAGCAGAAGAGCGGCAGCAGATTCGGGTCAACCTCATCCCTGGACCCAGAGGCCGAGAATGCAGCGCAAAGTTGACGAGATTTGAACCTCGCGGCTTCCCGTCTGGTCCCAGCATCTTCCAGTTCCCGCGCTTTCTGCTTGACTTGCGTGGGCCAGAGCTCCGCGCAGGCGCACGAGGCAGAGGCTGCGACCATGGCCACGAACGCGGGCGAGGGCCCCGGTATTGAGGAAGCCTGCCGGGTCAGTGGGATGGTCCGGTGTCCTGTACGTGGGAGATGCTGACGCTCGCTCCCCTCAGGGCCGGTCCAGTGCCGGAGGAGATGTCCCTGTGGCTGTGAGGCGGCCCAGGCCAGGAGCGGCGGCCCGAGGGGCGAGGGCGGGCCAGGGCGGGAGACTCGAGGCGCGGTTCCCGAGTCCTCGGAAGGCCCTCAGTCAAGATAAAAAAAAAAAAAGTGGTCTAGGTCACAGGCCGTGAGGCTTTGCGGGAACTCAGTCATTTGGGTTTTGCGCTTGGTGACTCAGGTCAAGAGAGGGCCTCATGGATGCCCACTTCCGGTGTGACGCCATTAGACGGTAGTGGTGAGTGTTAGGGTCGCGGGGCATGTCCCATCCTGGAGCTGTTCAGCCTTGGGCACGTTAAATTGCAGGCATTTTCTTTGGCTATTAGGCCCGTGTGTGCGGTTTTTCCCCTTCAGTGTTTACACTCCCTCTTCCATGGTGTGTGTTCTTACTGAGTCTTGATGTGCTGCTCAAGGCTGGCTTCGAACTCTTGGGCAAAGCCATTTTTCAGCCTCAGTTTCTTGAAAAGCTAGGAGTATAGGTGTACATCATCACCCTTGACTCTCTGTATACACACCCCTCCCACGCCCCCCAACACACACATCTATATCCATATATGTGTAACAGAGGGTGCATCAGGTGCCAGGGGTAGTGGAATAGGCCTGTAACCCCCATTACTAGGGAGGCAGAGGCAGGCACAGTTTCAGAGTTAAGGCCAGCATAGTCTACATAGTTCCAGAACAGCCAGGGCTACATAGTGAGACCCTTCCTCTCAAAAAACAAAACAAAACAAAAAACCAAAACAAAAACCAAAGTTGAACACACATAGGTACATATGTAAACTTAACCTGTGAGGTAATTATGAATATAAGAGGCTTGGAAGGAAAGGAAGCAAGTTTGACTTGGGGTGCTCTTTTTGGTCGTCTGAAGAGAAATATTACAATGTTAAGATCTGCTTGTTCTTTTAGTACATAGAATCTAAAGAAGAATTTGTTAAAGTTAGAAAGAAGGACCTGGAACGGCTGACGACTGAAGTGATGCAAATACGGGACTTCTTACCCAGACTACTAAATGGAGAGTTAATGGAAAGTTTCCACAAATTAAAGATTGTAGAAAAAAGTGAGTCTTCCCTCATGTATGTCTTTATGTGGGCAGGGGAGTCCATTTTCAATGTTGCGCTAAGTCCAGGATTGCTAGAACTTGTCCATTCAGACTTTCGACACTAGTATGTCACATACTAGTTCAGAGCCCTGTTAAATTTCTTGGAGGTATTTGGAGATTGAGTCAGCACTTTCCCGATTGGGACTGGATTCCAATTAAATTTGTCTTTGGTGGTTAAAGCTAATTTCTCACATCACATTTGACTGTCAGCCCTCATAGTGTGGCTTCATAGTGCATACCCCAAAGACCTGAGTAATGTTTCTAGCAGTAAGTCTGAAAAAGGAAGTATCTTGACTCAAATATGCTGGTTTCTGAGCCAGACATGGTGGTACATGCCTGTAATCCAGTACTTGGGTGGTGGAGGCATGAGGATCAGGAGTTCAAGGTCACCCTCCTCTACATATTGTGTTCGGCCCTAGCCTGTGATACATGAAACCATCAATATGATGACCTCCTTGGAAGTGGGGGGCCATCAGACTGCCTAAGGAGGAGTAAGCCAGTAGGGATCAGAATATGGGTTTCTAGATTGTGCATATATACCTAGCCAGTGAGCCAGCCCTATCCAGTTAGAAGGGCAAATGGGCATGAATACATGGCACCACGCCCTATTCTTTCAGGAGTCTTCCTATCAGTTAACTTTTCTGCCCTGTACTGTTTTCAGGGAGGTAGACTCCCTGCTAACTGGAATTGGCAGGGCTGGGCAAAGAAGGCTTCTCTGAGCAAAGAGAGAGAGTGGATGGAAGGGTGTACAGATCTGCCCTCTGCCCCTGCTTCTCACTCAGGTGGTTGCAGTCCTCCACAACACGTGCTCCCTCCTAGTAGCCTCCTCCACAGTCTACCTCTTACTGGGCTCCAGTAACCATTCTCCCCCAGAGCTACAGGGCTGCTGCCTTTCCCTGGGTATGTCACCATTCTTTGTGGATGCTCTGCTCTTCCTGTCCCTGGTTATTGACTTTTAGCTGCTTCATTCTGACCTCATGCTCAGCTGGCAAGTTTTGAGATTATTAGTCTTTCTTTATGCATTTTCTTCCAGAAAAGGAAAGTGCTGCCTGGCAGCAGACTGTATCATTAACCTACTGGTTGATTGTTTCTCTGTGACGTCATGAACCAGTATTCTGCAAAATTCACTAGAGTCAGTATCCTTCCCAAGTCAGTCTGAGGGCCATATATGAATCTGTGGTAACTTGATCAGTCAGACTACGGGAGACGTTCGCTTGTGGTTCCTGGCCTTCCCGGGGTTTTCATCACTTTCTCCTCTGGTGATGTCCTCCTGGTCTCCTTCGCCCGTTTACCTTTCTCAGGAGTCTTTAGACAGTGCAGGTGCTTGAGGCTCAGCCTAGTCCACTTTCACTGTAGCCCCCAAGGCCGTCTCATGCACACACACAGCTTTAGTTACTATTTGATGCTGGTGACTGCTGGATGCGTCTGTGTCTCCAGTGTCTGCCCTGCCCTTACTCTTTACTTGGCATCTTTTCCCACTTGTTCTGTTACCATTCAGACTCTAAATGTCTGTCTTAACCTAGTCAGGAACAGATCTGCATTTGACAAGATCAGGTTTATGTCTTATTGAGATACGCTTGACCATATACCAGAGGAATTGGGAGGCACCTAGCTTTGGGGGCAGAGTTGGAATTTGGTGGTTTGGAAATGAAGCAGTGTTTTTTGTTGGAGATGGCTTCACCATATATCCTGGGCTCACCTTGAATTCTCTGTGGAGCCCAGGCTGGCCTCAAACTGGAGATATTCTTGTCTCTGCCTAAGTGCTCAAGCAATGTTTTGACAGCTCATGGCAAGGTGGAGCTGTGTGTAAAGAGGCAACTAGAATTTGAATGTAAAGTGGACCCAGGTCTTGTTTGCCTGTTAACAATGAAGTTTAAATAAATGTAGAACACTGTTTAGACATACCTTACCCACACCTCTGAGGCTAGTGGGGTGTCAGGCTGTTTCTGTGTGTCACTGTAATCTTCAGGGCAGGTTGTGTTTTTTTCCTTCTGAAAGTGGGGGAGTTTTCAACATAAATTTGATGAATAAGAAATGAGCAGTCACTCCAAGAAAGGGACACTGTGACACTTTGCAGCTTGCTCTGTCTGCCCACTGTTCTAGCCTGACAAATGGGCAGGGCATCTTTTCACTTAGCAAGACCATTTTTACTTTCTTCTGTCTGACTTATGATTCCATGTGCTTTTTCTCACTGGCCTGCCTTGGTCTGCTTAGAGAACAAGCCTAGATCTGACATCTTGCATGGAGTTCTCCCTTTCTCCAGTGAGTTCTGTATATTCTTCCTTGGAGATGCATTATGACTGTATTAGCCTGTCTTCATCTCTCCTGCTTTGGCGGGATCCTTGTACTTGCCTCCTCTAGGCAGTGTCTACCATTCCCAGCCTGGCTTTTTTTTCTATCATTCCACTCCTCAGGTTCAGCTGTTAAAATAGCTGCTCCTTGTCCTTAGGATAAAGACCAACTAGCAAACTGCTGCCATGCTGGGACCTAAACAGGCCTTACTGTGGCTGTGAAGCGTTTGTATTGCTGGTAAGCCTCATCCAGAGTGGCTCTCTGCTCTGACTGCCCAGACATGAGCTCTATGTTGGGCATGGCCCCTGTGCTTTTCCTCCGGGGGAGGAACTGTAAAATTTCAACTTAGGCTTACCCTGACTACTTTCAATTTTCTGGCTGAGACATGGTTGAAGAGATGGCCTTCTAGAGCACCCTTTACCTAGTTTTTGCTCTTGAGTTTTCTTTCCTTCCTTCCTCCCTTCCTCCCTTTCTCCCTTCCTTCCTCCCTTCCTCCCTCTTTCCCTCCCTCCCTCCCTCCCTCTCTCGAGGCTGGGTCTCACTTGAGGTAGCCCTGGTTGGCCTGGGATTGATTCACTATGTAGATCAGGCTGGCCTTTCATGCACAGAGATCCACCTGGCTTCCTGAGTGCCTGAGTTAATGAGATGGGTATCAGATAGCATGGAGAACCTGGTTCTGAGCTATCAGGACAATTGCCTTTGAGAAGCTGGGAAGGCAGGTAGTGATTTGGAATAATACTGATCAGTGTCTTGTCTAAGCATCTTTGAAGAGTAAACACTGAAGAAAAGGCACAGTTTCTTTTTTTAAAAAAAATGACTTTGTGTGTTTGAGTGTTTTGCCTGCATGCGTGTGTGTGTGTGTGTGTGTGTACCATATTGTGTGTCATGCCTGAGGAACTTAGAAGAGGGTTTCAGATCCTTTGTTACTGGAGTTAGAGACAGTTGTAAATTGCCATAAAGGTGCTGGAAATTAAACCCAGGTCCTCTGAAAGACCAACCAGTGCTCTTAACCACTGAGCCAACTCTCTCTCCCCGCCCAAGCACAAGATTTTTTTTTCTTTAGAAGGAAAAGAAAAGATATGTGAAAGTCACAAGTGGGAGTAAGGATCTTTTTTTTTTTCTTTTCTTTTTTTTTTTTTTTTTTTTTTTGGTTTTTCGAGACAGGGTTTCTCTGTGTAGCTTTGCGCCTTTCCTGGAACTCACTTGGTAGCCCAGGCTGGCCTAGAACTCACAAAGATCCGCCTGCCTCTGCCTCCCGAGTGCTGGGATTAAAGGTGTACGCCACACCGCCCGACTCCTTTTTTTTTTTTTTTTTTTTTTTTTAAATCAGCTGGTTTTCCTGCTTTTGAAGGACTTGGGTATAGCAGAAGTAAAGATGGTAAATGTGGGATGTTTATAGAGGATGGGAGGGAGTTTAGTTGAGGTGAAGGGCACTTGGAACTTCTAAATGGAATGATACCAAGATACTGATCAGGTGATGTTTTCAGGGGAACGATTTGACCTGGACTATGAGATGAGTGTGAAGGGTTGGCTGGGTGGAGGGAAGTAATGAGTGTTCCTCAAGGCAAGTCCTAGGTGCCATTGGACTCTGACTGTATGGATGGAACAGCAGGAACATGGGAAAACATGATGGGTTCTGGTGATGAAGTGAGGCCACAGCCTTCTAAGTTAGGATCAGGCATGACTGGCAATAAGGAGGGCACTGACCAGCCTTTCATTGTGTTTCCTGGAACTATAAAGCATTTATCTAAGGACAGTAGAGCACTTACCTGGTTACAGGGTTCAGAGTAAACATCTAGGACTATGCTACCCACCCCAAAGTCTCCTAGGACAGTGGTTCCCGCCCTTCCTAATGCTACAGCCCTTTAATACAGTTCATGTTGTAGTGGCCCCCAACCATAAAATTATTTTCATTGCTGCAAATGAAACTGTAATTTTGGTACTGTTATGAGTTATGATGTAAATATCAGTGTTTTCTGATGGTCTTAGGTGACCCCTGTGAAAGGGTTGTTTAACACTCCCAAAGGGGTTGTGACCCACAGGTTGAGAACTGCTATCCTAGGACGTGGCAAGTTTGAGATGACTTAATCCTTCTAAAGGGCTTGAATGGTACCTGTATTGTAGGAATCTTGAAGAAAGTATTTTCCATCTGGGAAACTTGTTGAGCTTCTGGCGTAATGGAGAGAGCATTCTGGCAGATTTGCAGCACAGCAGCTTCAGCTGTGACTCAGGCACTATCACATAGTGAACTTGGAATAGCCTTGACTTGAGGGCTGTCAAATTGGAAAGTGCATAAATATAAAATACTCCCGTGAAAACATTATCAGCACCCTTCAGTACTGAACAGTGGAGGAAAGTTCTTGTAAAGAAAGAGTCCTGCACTGTTGTTTATCATGTTGAGATCTCAATTGAGAGTGAGATGAAGAATGAGAACTCTGGGGCTTTCAGTAACCATGTAAGACCCATCCAGCTAATAGGTGAGAGTCCATGACTGAGTGTCTATACTCTTCTGTCTCCTGCAGTGATTGGTGACCTTAGTTGTCTTTGGGTAGTACTGTAAAGGGTTGACTGCTGGCAGCTGGGTCCTGGACAGAGCCAGCCTCACGGAGCAGAGCCTTAAGAGGATAGGGAGCTTGTTTGGCAGTTCTCCAGGGGAGCACTGCTGC